TGCCACAGAAGAAGACAGTTTTAATAGTTCCTTTTATGAATGGAATCTAAACTGCCCAGACCTTTGGTAACTTGTGCAAGATCACGAGTTGAAGATGAAACGTTTGTCAAGACATTATATATTACCTCCTTTAGTCCTCACAACTACATGTATAGATATCATCACTCCTATTTTATATAAGGGAAATATGAAGATGACAGAAATTAAAAAGTTGAAAATCCTGTGATGCGTGCAGCCCCAACATGATCTGCCACACTCATCCCACCACCACATCCCAATATGCCAAGATGTTTATAACACAATTCTCTAGGTCTGCGTGTGTGTGTGTGTGTGTGTGTGTGTGTGTGTGTGTATTCTTAATATCTTGTCCCAGCAAGTTCAATGTTCACTGATGAATTCTGGTAGTACCACTGTCCCTGAACCTCACCTACCTTTTTACTGCAAAGTAACTTAGATATTTTCCAGAGTCTTCTTGAAGTGCTAAGACCGCTGGGCTTTACTAATACTAATTATCTAAGAAGAAAAGGGTGATGGGATGAAGAATGAAAAGGCTTGAGCCCTGCAGCCTTGTCAATATGCAAATCATCTATTTATATGCAAGTGATTCTGAGGAAATGAAGTTGGGGCACCCTTGGTTGATCAGTTTGTGTCTCCTATGAATGATGCAAATTACTTTGAATGTGTACAACCACCCTTGTTCTATGGATGGGTTGAAACAATTTTTAGCATTTAATTCTGATGGGGTAACCATCCTAAGAGTGATAGAGAGGACACCAAGACTCAAAAATCCCACTCCTAACAACAGACCCAAGAAAGCATAAGCTTGGATGTGTCAGGGGACCTGTTCAAGGATGCTCAGAGTAGCATTGTTCATAGTAACCGTAAATAGAATTGATCCAATCGGCTATGCAAGAAGCACAGGAAAATAAATTGTGTATGTTCCTCCAAATGAACTATTATAGAGCCATGAAAGTAAATTAACATGGATGAGTCTTGTCAAGTCCAAATACTGTAACAAGTCCTAAAAACAGTTCAGTGCCTTTTAATAAATTCAAACAAGTAAAACTAATATATATATATATATATATATATATATATATATATATATGAATGATTGAAGAAATAACCTGAGAATATAAGGAGCCATAAAAGTCACCATAGGCTGGGCATGGCAGCACATGCCAGTAATCCCAGCACTCAGGAGTCTAAGGAAGGAAGATACCCAAGAGTCTGAGGCCAATCTGGGCTACACAGCCTAAACTATAGAGAACCTGTTCCAAAAAAATCAGGATTGACAGAGTCCAGACAGGGACATTGCCAGTTTGAATGAGCCCACCTGCCATCTTAGAGAAGCATAGGTTTCATTTTACTTAGGTCACAAGCAGTCTCCAGAGAACACATCAGCAAGCCACAACACCGCTGTTTCTCCAACCCATCCCCTCAAAAGCCCACCAAAAAACACTACTTAAAAAGAGTCTTAGCCTGTAAGAGACACCTTTTCTGTTCTGCTCACACAGAGAGGAGACTTTATCTCACACAGAGAGATACCTTTATTGATATTTACTGTGTAATAGGTGCTATGCTGAGCCTATCTTTGGGATGAATCAGACACAGTCCTATCCTATAGAGTCACTGTCTTTATTGAATTGTACTCAATAAATATTACAGATGATGTGTCAATTTTTTTTTAAGGAAAAAGACTATCTGATGGAGGAGTCTGACAATTCCCAAAGGGTTTGCCAGGTGCTATGGTAGAGGTAAGGCAATAAAGTGCTATAGTCTCAAAGAAGGGTCCCTTAGCCCAGCTTGGGATCCTTGAAAAAATGTAGAGCTTTGTGCTTTGAGAAATTAGCAAGAAGAAATTGCAGGTGGTTTACAGAAGACATAATGGTGAAAAAGACAGTTTTCTCTTGAAATGCTCCTATCTTGGAGTGGGAACAAGAAAAGAGGCCACACAACAACAGTGAGTTTGGGGACACAAGAGAGGAAGGCCTGAAGATGCATGCTGGAGGGGATCATGTCAAATCTGGGGTGTCAGGTAGGCTTCCTGGAGATGCATACAGAGGATAAGGAGCTTAACGGTAGATTAGAGCCACCTGAGGGATGTCTGAGCCTAGCAGAAATTTCAGGGGTGTCAATGCTTGTGCAAGAAAGAAGCAGCTTGGTGCCTTGGAAGATCTCTGAGATCCTGGTGTGGCCTGTCTCAAAGACCAGACGAGTGAGCAGAAGCCAAATTCCACTAATAAGTGTGAAAATCATGCTGTGAGCCATGGGGTACCTCTAGAGGGAATGGCGGGGGTGATTATTCCCTGACAATAGAGATGGTGGTACCTGAGATATAGAGAGGAAAAGGATCCATACTCTGAAGAAATTCCTGTTTTCTCACTTTACAAAAGGGAAAACTAAGATCTAAAGAGCCTGAATAGAGGTTTAAGCCCAGGACCATCTGATTATGCCCATACAATATTGTGCATTTTTTAGAATAAGACTGTGACTAGTTCTTCAAGTATTCATCTTATACTTACTCTTAAACAGTTAAGAACATCATGCATTAGTTACCTATAACTGCAACAAATTACTCCAAAATTTAGGAGCTTAAAACAACAAACATTATCACACAGTTTTCATGGAACAGCTTGGTTGGTACCACTGACTGAAGGTGCCTCACAATGTTGCAGCCAAGATGTCAGACAGGGCTCAGCTAGGGAGCTGCTTCCAAGTTCACTCACACAGCTGGTGGCAGGCCTCAATTCTTTACCATGGGGACCTCTTTCTACAGGGCTGCCCCAGAGCATAGCAGTTGGCCTCCTCTAGGAAAGCAATCTCAAAAGAGAAGAGAGACAATGGATGCACAGAACTGAAGCCACAGCCTTTTTATTACCTAATCTTGGAAAGTATGTCCTGCTCTTCTAGTGTATCCGACTTGTGAGAAACAAATCAGTAAGTCTACCCTACAAGTAAGGAGAAGAGGAACAAAGGTGGGAACATTAGGAGGCAAAGATACTGGAGGCCATCATAGAAACTGCTGACTTCATTCTGAAGAGTTTTTATAGTCAGGCTCTCTTGGCTTTCCCCAAAATAGCAAGTTGCTTCCTCTGCTATTAAGAGATTGAAGGATTCGAAGAACTTCAGGGACATGTAAGGATCCTGTTGTGACTATTCATTTATGACCAAAGCACAGTATCATTTGGAAAGGCCATTGTCCTGTACCTATCAGCAACCCCCCAGGGAGAGAATTAGTTTCTCAAATTGTAACCACTGACCTTGTTATGGGAATTAAAGTACAGGCTGCCCATTGCTCAAAGGCCAATTTTTAGGAGGGGAGGGTTAGTAGGAAGGAATTAGGTTTATAAAGGGCTGATAATCTTGAGAAGATGGGAGGGCTACCAACCTTAAGTCTCCATCTTCTGGTTCAGAGGTACAAACAGCTTTTATAAAGATGGAAAAGAGGAGCAGGACAAGAAGGCTACATGTTGAGCAGGGTGTGGTCACCCACGATGTGTATCTCCTTTCATTTTCTCTCATAGGAACACTAAAATGGTCCTCAATTTCCTGGGCTAGTTCTTATAGTTCTTTGGATGGACATGTTATTTTCCAGAAGTTAAACCTCACAACAATTCACATGTTTTGTGTTAATTAATGCATAGAACTAAAGACTAAGGAGAGGCATTACAAAAGTCACCAGATGCCCTGGGTTCTGTAAATGTAAGGAAAAATTTAGCAGTTAACATCTTAGCCATTTAGATGGAACTTCGCTTTAAATTTTAGAATACTGGCCAAAGGTGGGGAGGGGATATAAAGGTATTAGCTGATGCAATGTTTCCCAGTAGGGAGAGAAAATAATGAGCACTTCCCACATCAGCCAGATTGGATTGGAGGTCCAGGCAGAAAAACTAACAGCTTGAAAGACTTTTGGGGGGGGTACCAGGGATCAAACTCAGGACCATGCACTTTTGAGGCAGGCAGCGGCACCACTAAACTAAATCCCTGGCCCTTGAAAGACTTGTTTAAACTTCCCTTTGCTCTGATCTTCCCTCAAGTTTTCATTTTTCCCTGCCCAACCATGTCCATACCCAATACCAGCTGGGAGGATAGGTGCTCAGGAGCTTCCTAGTAGGAATAGGAAGAAGATCTCAGGGAAGATAGAAAGTGTGAGTATAGGTCAGCATTGCTACATAGGTCAGTTCAAATCACATTTCCTCAACAGCTATTCAGGGCAAGCATGGGGCATCCAGAGATGAACAGGATACAGATGCTTGCCCAACAGGGTTTCACAGTTTTTAGGAGGAAGACTAACATGTAAACCGATGATGATGAGAGAGTAGAATAAGTACAACTAATACTTTGTCAACACACCATTTTTTGTCTCCCTGCCTGGCTGTTCATGAAAGCATTGTTTTTTTGTTTGGAGTTCTGCAGTAGCTCCCAAACTGATTTATTCTATCCATCCATCTACCCTGCTCCTGAGAGATTTTTCTGAAAAGCAAATCTGACAAGGTCAATAGGCGCTCCAACTAGTAAAGTCTAAATCTTTTGGATAGACCCTAGGACCCCAAGCAATCCTTCAGCTACATCTTAACTTCCTTCTGCTCACACTCCAGTCATACCACAGGCTGTGTGCTGTGGTAGGTAGGTACCTACCAGACTATGCTGTCTCCCAGTGTCTAGGAGCTAATTCAGGCAGCCACTTTACTAGGAAACATTCCCAGATTGCCCTTCCCAGTCTGGGAGAGGAACCCCAGAATCCCCTTCAAAATATTTCCCTCTCCACTTGGATTGTCTGTATTTATTTTCTTTGTCCCCATAAAGTAGACTTTCTCTAACCTCTTTGCCGGTGCCTGGTGCCTGGCGCCTGGAGCAAGAGTGTACCGTGGAGTGGACTGTGGAGTGGGCCCAGTGTCAACTCTGGGATCACAAGCAGAGCGCCCAAGTCAGGAGGTTTCAGTTTCCCCAAGGAAGCAAGAACATCAGAAGCACCCTGGGTCTCTCATGCTGGCCACGCCCTCTCCCTTATCTCTGCGCTGGGGCAAACGAGGAAGCGGGGGACCTTCAGCGCCGGGAGGCCCAGGAGACTAGGGTGGGCGGGAACGGCGCAGCGAAGCAGGTGTGGTATGAAATTGGATTTTAAAAGATGAGTTTGAGCCTGGTCTCAGAAATAAAGTGTGAACATGTGTGTCTAAGGCGAGAACATATTAAACCATTCGCTTTTCCCGGCTGCTGTTTCCCACGTGCCTTGAATAGAGGAACCAGAGCTACCCAGTGACTGTGCCTGTCTCCTCCTCCTCCTCCTCAGGGGCACCCCCTCTGGCTTTCCAGGCGTGCTTGAATGAATGGGGAGGGATGGGAGCTGATGAATGAGTGCGTGAGGGAGCCCGCGGGTGAGTGAATGGCGACCGTGCAGCTTCGGCTCAGAGGCTCGGGCGCGGGTTCCACTTCCCTCTCCCGCCAGCTGGTGGCCTAGAGAAGGTGGCGGCGCCGGCCACGGCCCTAGCTGGGACGGCCGGGGCGCTAGATGGTGGGGGAAGGGGCGTTCCCGGCGGCCGCGCCTTCCGCAGCTATTGGATTAGTGGCCTTCAGGGATGAGCTCAGCCGGATCGGCTTTCAGCTGCAGCCTCCGGGCCGGCCGGGAAGGCGGGGAGCGGGCGGCGGCGGAGGAGGGGGAGGCGGCGGCGGCTGCAGCATCCAGAGCTGGCCGTGGCGGCCGGCGCGCCCCGCGCACAAAGGCGCCCAGACCCCGAAGAAGGCGATGAGAGTACTGCAGCCCTGACCGGGGCCCCAGATGCAGGCGCCGTCGTGTGCGCCCAGGGCTCTGGGGAAGACTCTGGGCGCGCCAGGGGCCGGCGGCCGAGGTTCGGCCCCTGCGCCCTGAGCGCGAGATTCGCTGCCCTCCGGGTCAGGCGCCAAGCTTCGGAGCGGCTACTGCGCGGGCCTCGGCGCGCCCCTAGGATCCGCGCAGTGAGGCGCTTTCCCCGCTCTGCATCCGACTCCAGGCGTCCTCTCGCAGCGCCCGAGCGCCAACTTCGCCAAGAACGCTCCCAACTCCTGGCCACCCTGCTGGGCAGAGAGGGCGCTGCTGCCCGGCACCAGCCGTGAGGACGCGCCGCTGTCTCTCAGGAGGAAGCCAGCATCTGCGGGGTTGCTCGGGCGCCCCGGAGTGGGCAGCAAAGGCAGCAGACTCCTCTTCTGGGAGCGCGGGACCTGCCGGTGCTGGGGATTCCTCCCGGGCGGCGCTCGCCCTCTCTTTTATGGTGAGTATTCTCCAATGCCTGGTAAGGGACGCACGGGGGCCGGGGGCTGGGATTCGGCAGCGCGGACTTCGTGTAGATAGGCACTCGTCACAGTCAAAGCTCCTGGAGTCCTTCTGGTCGCAATCCCCGGGAATTTTTCTCTGCGGACTATGGCAGTCCAAGCTGGTTGGTTTGCGCAGCCTTGGGGCATTGGGGTCGGCCCCTGGGACCGTGAGTTCGAAGCCCACTGCTAATCCGTATCGTAGAGACAGAAAAATATTGCCTCCAGAGTCAGCCGCCTGGGTTTGTGTCCAGCGTCCATCAGTCACTGGATGGGTGACCTTGGGCAAGGCGCCAAACCTCGGTTTCCTCATCCGCGAGATGGGGATGATAATTGTGCGGGTTTCACACGGGTACCGGGGGGATCCGTGCTATGGCAAGTAAACCTGTGCTTGGCCTACAGGAAGCACCCAATCGTACGCTAGCTAGCAGAATTATTAGCTTCGTGGCCCATGCATGCCATCCAACTTTCCAGAGCTGCAACAGCACCCTCTGTGAAATGCAGACAGTGATTCCTGGGGAGGTCTTTTCTTCCCGGGTTCAAAGCAGAAGTCAAGCGCCTGGCAAGCAGTAGGCACTGGTGAAGCGGCGGCGTCTGTCCCGTTTATATCTGATGCTGGGGCACGAGGCTGACTGCCTGGCTCGAGAGCTGTGCAGAGCCACTTCCCCGCCTTGCTTGAAGACAAACTCGGTAATGCTCAGGAAGGGAGGAGATCGAGAGCTCTGGGAGTCCCGGGCTCGGGGGTCTAGGAACGGGGAAGGAGGTCAGGCCCGCCACTGAGCAAACGTTCCCGCTCTGGTCGCGTTGGATGAGCCCCGGGCTCCAGGCCAGCAGGGCCCGCCGAGCCCGGGACCTCTGACTGGCTGGAGAAGCCAGAGGAGTGGCTGCTCCCGCCGCCCCACGACCTAGCGCGAAGAAGAGGGCACTTGTATAGCTGGCTCGAAGAGATCTGACTTGGGTTCCATCTCTACCTCCATCAGGCCGCTGTGTGACCCTGAGCAAGTTCTCTGACCCCTCCTGGCCCTCCGGTGCCCCCCCCCACCTACTCCTAACGGATCTGGGGGAGTGAAGATAGCAGGGAGTCCTCTCCTCGTAGAAATCTGAGCCTCCATCCTCCCACTCACCTTCTGTCCCCCGCAGTTCGATGAGCCTAAATCTGAAAGCAGAGAAATGGCTCAGGAAAGCTATAAAAAGGAGATTTCAGAATCTGCCCCCACTGGCCCTGTAGGAAGAGGAGGCCACAGCCACTAGACTTACTTACCTCTGTGAATATTTGCCTCTTTGGTGCCACTATACTTCAGTTAAATCCCGAGGCTTCTGTTACTCACTTTGATGGGGGAATTACCTAAATCCCACTCAAAAACCTTTTTTGGGGGGGAGGTGCAGATAAATCTAATTTGGAGAAAACAAAAATGTCGAAAGTATGATATGAACATGCTTTACACAGGGCTCTGTGTGTGTGGTTCTCGGGATTGAACCCAGAGCCTTCCCACTGAGCTATATCATTAGCCCTTTTTTATTTTGAGACAGGTTGTCACTAAGTCACTAAGTTGCCTGGGCTGAGCCCAAATTTGGCATCCTCCTGCCTCAACCTCCCAGAGTGCTGGGATTATAGGAGAGTGACATCACACCCAGCACTGATTCCACTTTTAAAGTTTCTTTACTAAATGGCAATAAAAAGAAATAAAGCTACTTTTGACAAATGGCAAAGTTCAACTTGCCAGCCATTCTATTCAAATATCACTCCAATTTTTGTCTCTCTTACCTTAAAGACTGGTGAATTCAATGTATAAAATAAAATCTGTAAGGAAAAGAAATCACCATAGTAAAGGACACATGCCGTTCCTTTAAGACAATGGGCTCATCTCTTTATCATGTGCTATGTACTTTTTTTTTTTTTGGTACTGGGGATCGAACTCAGGACTGTGCGCTCCAAGGCAGGAAGTGGCACCACTGAGCTAAATCCCCTGCCTGGGCCCATCTTTTTAAATGTGTTAAAGTCTTCAAGTCAAACCACCAAAAGACCAATCAGACAAAGACTAAAGACACACAAAAAATAAGGGCCGGGGATTTAACTCAGCAGTGCTGCCACCTGCCTTGCAAGAGCAAGGTCCTGAGTTTGATCCCCGGTACCAAAAAAAATGAAATAGAAGTCAGGTGTGGTGGCACACACTGCCTGGTATTCCAGCACTCTGGGAGGCTGAGGCAGGATGATTGCAAGTTTGAACTCAGCATGGACAATTTAGTGACTTAGTGAGAACCTGTCTCATAATAAAAAATTTTTTTAATTCAATTAAAGGGCTGGGAACATAGCTCAGTGAGAAGGTCCAGTGTTCAAACCCCAGTACAGAGAGAGAGACAGAGACAGAGAGTCAGAGACAGACAGATAGAGAGAAATAGTACTAAAACCTATGACAAGGTGCCACTAAATAAGAAAAGTGTAAGCTAAGGCTGTAAGCTTCAGTTTTTCACACACCAGATTAGCATCTTTTAAAAATGTAAATCGATCAAATTTCTCCCTAGCTTAGAACCTCTTCAATGCTGCCAGGAGTAAAATCCAGACTCTCAGAGCCCCTAGGCCTGCTTCCTGCCCACTTTACTCCTTCTCACCATTTGCCTCTATCACCACTCCCAATTCCCCTGGCCTTCTTGGTTTTGCTCCAGCATTCCGTGGGCTTAATCACCCGATGGTCACTCTGCCTCCAGTACTTTTCTCCTTGGCTCCTCACAGGACTTGAACATTTCATCACTCAAGTGCTCCTGTCTTTGGAGGACTCCATTCCTATCCCGGAAGCAGCCAAGGACTAGGCTAGTGCAGAGTCCTTGTGCTTTTGGGAAAAGACCCAGTGCAGTTCACCACACTACAGTGACTTAATTTTTTTTAAGCTTCCTAGCCAGTTGTTACGCATCCAAGCTCTTGAAAGGTCCTGTACCTTCTCTGCTGGTACAGGAACAAAAGGTGTCGGGCAGCCCCCCAGCTCGAACAAGCTACTCCATGTGGAAAATCAAGAGGCTGGTGGGGCTGAGGTAGAAGTCATCAGAAGTCTCTCTTGGTAGACTTTTTTTTTTAGGAGTGCATAATGTGTGCACTTTGCTTATGTGAACATGACCATACATATTTGGCACACAAAAAAAGTCAATCATAAAAAATTTAAAATTCAGCAACATATTTTAAATAAAACATGGTCCCAAAGCTAAATGGTTTTTCTACTGCTGCTCAGAAATAAAGACCTCTCTGTTCTAAGGCCACAGGAAATAACTGGCACACACTTTGGGAAAGAGAAAGGCACACTCCAAATCAGTTACCTTGAACTTTGTGGACCTTCAGAAGACTTCGAGGGCAGTGTTATAGCTTATGATTTTTGCTTCACACGTTGCTTTTAGAACGAAATACCCATTTAAAAGGTACACACAGGAGGTGTAGGTTGAATATGCCTTCTGCAGCCTGACAGGCTCTTAGCACAGCGCAGGTAGCAGGCATAGGGTGGTGCACTGCTCTAGGAGACAGGCAGAGGCTGGCTGGGCTCTGGCCCTGCCAGCAAGAAACACAGCACATGATGCAGGAGACATTTGTGGGATTCAACAGCCGGGAGAGGACTCAGTGAGGGGTCGGTTAGGGAGGGGGTCAGCCAGGTAGGGAAGGTAGGAAGGCCCAAGACACTCACACTAGGGTGGGAGGGGCTGTGCAGACCTGGATTCTGCCATGTCTGGTCTGAGGTAGGTGGTAACGAAAGATGAGTGCAGGAGAAATAATCCAAAGCAGGTTCTGGGGACCCCTGGCTGCCAACCTAAGGGTTGAATGAGAAGGTGGGTGGGCAGCTTGGTCACATTTATCCTCTTGGAGAGTGGTTGAGGACAAACACTTAGGAGACCATGGCAGAAATCCAGACAAGTCTGAACTAAGGGAAAGTGGAAGGCATAGAGTGAGGGAGACTGAGGCAGGGGATCCACTCAGAACCCGGGGCCTTCAGAGAGAAACCTGGGATGTAGGAGAGGGAAGAGGCTGAGCTCAGCCCAGGACTCATGATTGTGAGGTTGCACTGGGCCCCTGGGTATCCCAGGGCCCTAGAGGGTAGGTGTGCCCAGCGTGGGAGGCCCCTGATGGAAAGAGGCCAGCCGGCTTTACAAAGTCACTTGAAGGAGCACTCTGTCTGGAGTGGACAGAGGCTTCTAGCAGGTGAGTCTGATGCTGAGGAGGGAAGGCAGGGCTGGAGATCCTACTTGGGAATATGGCAGAAGGCTGGAGGTGCAACTTATAAGAGAGGAGGCCTAGGGGTAGGGGGAGTCTGAAGATATGACACTGGGGTCCACTTAGGAAAACTACCGTGGTGAGCTCCATGCGTGGTCTGTGCAGAGGGAGAGGACAGGTCAATGCCAAAGTCACCCACCTGGTTTGTAATGCCATGAAATGTCATTTATGACTAACTGGAGCTCAGCCTTCAGAGATGAATAGGCTTGACATCCCAGCCCTTAGCCACATTCTATGAGACATGCAAGTCACAGAGTCCTGGGCTGGATGCTCCCTCCCATGTCCATGCCCCCCTCACCTCTCTGAGTCTCCCCTCTCCCTCCTTCTCTTGCTCGTTCCATACCTAATGTCTCATTGCTCTAGGGACAGTGCAAGCTTAACAGAGGGACCTTCAGAAATCCCAGCAGGTCCCTATTATGATCCCCTAGATTAACTCTGAGGCTAGAAGAGCTTTGATTTTCTTTCAGGCATCCTGATTTTCAGACAATCAATGATAACAAATGGGCAAGTTTCACTTTGGGAGATAAATGAGGTTGGATGTGAAGATTATTGTGTTGTCATAATAGGTGATTCCCCTAGAGGGTCCCATTAGGCAGCCCCCTCCTTCAGCCCATCTTGTCATGCTTTGCCCCAGCCTGAGCCATCCTGGGGCACATGGAAGCCAGATATCCTGCAGAACAATTCACACGTTCCCAGGACAGCCCTCTGGGC